GTGATTCTGGTCATGAGTTTTTGTGTTGCGGTTGTCTCCTTCGACGTCAAGGTCGATAGGTCTGCCACTCCCAGTAGAAGTGTCGTCCCTAATCTTTTCCTTCTGTCCGTCACTGGCCATCTATTCTCCTTTCTTTTCCACAGACGGCGCCAAATTGTGTAAGTGATTTTCTTATCACACTGCCAACTTAGTAATCAGCTGAAGAGAACTGGCAGAATAGATGACGCCTAGCTGACCTGCAACAGAAAGAGAAGATTCCGGCGGTGGTTCTTCCACCCGAGGGCACTCCGACGATCATGTCAGTATATCTCTCAAAGATAATCAATAGCACTAATCTCACTATTCAGAATATAGATTGCATACCTTAGACCCATCGGGGGTGCCTCTCTTTTATAGTTAACTCAATCCTTGTCCTACTAGAAGCCTAGCTTCAATGGACTCTTGCTCAGTGCTTATCCTAGACTCTCCAAGAGATAAAAATAAACTCCCTAAGCGTGTTATCCTTATCCGGGCTGAAGTCCTTCCTCATTCTAGGACTCTTGTTCCTTATCCGCTTATCTCGGATTCCGATATCTTCGGAGATAACCTCGGCCTTACCGAGATAACCTCAGCGTCATAACCTGGGCACGTGGCACCTCGGCTGACACGTCGGCTCGCCTTGGCCACATGTTGGGACTCAGCAAATATATCCCCACAGTTAGTTTTGGCTACTAAAATTATTTAGTCGCCAAATGAAAAATAAAAATTTATTTTTTATCTTTTGATCGTCAAAAATTTATTTTCAGCGACTAAAAAATATTTTAATCACTGTATAGTTAGTTTTGGCTACTAAAATTATTTAGTCACTGAATGAAAAACAAAAATTTACTTTTTATCTTTTGGTCGCCAAAGAATTAAAATATTTGGAGGGAGACATTTCAAATTCTAGAGGGATTTATAAAATTAATTGGCAATCAAAATGTTTAATCGCGAAATGTTTCAAATGGCGACATTTCAAATGTTTAGTGGTTTTTTTGCTTCGCCTCCCTCGACTCTCTCACTGAAAGCCCAAACCAAGCCTCTGGTTTTAGAGAGAGAAAGAGAGCTAGATACAGGTGCTTGTAAAGAGAGGAACAAGCTGTTACATGTTCGCGAGAGAGAGAGAGAGAGAGAGATAGGTTTTTTGGATACAAAATCTGAAGATCTCTCTTGTAGTCAATTACAGAGACCTCTCTTATGATGGCTAAAGCTCTTATCACACCCAATTCACACCCAGATAAGTCATTGGATCCTCCGACTCCATTGTCAATCGAATCTCTGTTTAGTAGAAAAGTTGATTTCTAGCTAGTGAAGAAGCCATTCTTTGGGTTCAACAATGGTAGCTGAGGGTTTCGGTTGGAGACTCTAAATCCAACTACTATCTCGGATCCACGGAGGTTCAGTGGGTCGAGTCAGGGCAGTGGTAATTCGGGTTTGGCTGGTAGGCATGTAATTGGTTCGGTACTGTCGGTATTTAGGTAAAAATTTACACTGAACTGATAATATCGTTATACTATTTTGAACACTGATACAGATCGTTTCTGCCATTAAACCACATCGAACCGAACGGATTAAAACAGTTCGATTTGGTGTGGTTTAATTGGTTTATAATTTTTTAAACTTGAGCCACTTTTAAATATAATCACTAATCTATATAAAAACATTAAATTAGTTAGTTGTTTACCATTTCAAACATATCTAATCCATCCATTTAATACATATTTTTCAATTCTTAAATTAACAAAAATAAAAACAAAAAAAAGTTTAAAAATACTAAGGTTTCAAAAATAATGAGTTAGAGTTAAGATTATATATAATAAGAATTTACAAACTTAGGTTATAAAGATGATAAGATTAATTTATTAAGGTTAATAATTTATTCTACTTCTTAATATCATTATATTATTAGATTATATATATATATATATTATATAAATACAATATATGTTGAAGCGATCGGTTTCGTTTTAGATCGGTGCACAAGGTGCTTAAACCGATACTGAATCGAAAATCGAAAAAATTCAAATTTAAAAATCGCACAGACCGATTCTTGTTAAAAAAAACAAATCAAATATAGCCAGTTTGGTCCACTTCGATCAATTTGGTCGGTTTTTTTAATTTTTCTTACATCCTTACCGGCTGGGAAGAAACTAGATGGGTCGGAGTTTTTCGATGTTGGGTTGGATCCTGAGCTCAGTTTTGGGATTACTTTTCGATGAATTGTGAGTAGTTGTTCAGTTGATATGTATATATATGCGTGTTGTGTTTTTGGTAATTTCCGCTTTGTATTGTTCTATATATGGTTTAACAGTCTTTTGCACTTTGTTCTAGATTTTGATTGGTTTAGTTTGTTGTTAATTTCTATACATTTTTCACTGTTTGTATTGCATTTTGTATACTTTTTCAGTTTTTTTTGTTTGTTTGTTGGGATTGGGTAGTCTGCTAGTTTTTCAATTAGATTGTATTTCTTTACAATTCTTTCTCTAATTATTGGATTTGCTTAAAGATTAGGCTTCGGTTGATGGATGCTGTAGTTTGTGTTTTATTTTAATTTTTTTTCAAGGGTTTATTGTGATTTTGCTATCTTTATTTAGTTTGATTTGGCTTTTTTATATAATCAGGCATTATATTATTAATTTGTAGGTTTTGATTATTTATATAATGGTATAATTACATTTACTTTTATTAGTTTGAACTTTGTTGAATGTTGACTTGGTTTGAAGTTATCGGTTTGCTTAACTATGAGGATGGTATGCATACCTTACAGGGTCACATATATGGAGCCTTTAGCCGCATATTTACAAAGTGGAAAGTATCAAAATTCTTGTGAGTTTCTATCACCCTCTCTCCCCTCATCGTGCACACAATTTACTAGATAAGTTGCACTCATGATTCTATGATGTTATATTTTCATGTTCATATTTTGGTATAAATCTCTGTTTTGTATGAAATTACTATTTTAGATTGGAATATACTTAGTTTATATGAAATTTGACATTAAAAGTTATTTCTTTTTGGATGGTTTGAAGTGAAATTGATGCAAATTGCGAAATGATTGATAATATATGTATTGTTTTATTTATATACATGGTACAAATTACATGGCAAACGTATAGGTTGTGGACAAAATAATTAAAAATAAAGAAAATCATGTTTCTGACGACTAAACAATTGGTAGCAAAAAAAGTAACATTTTTAGCGACTAAATAGTTAGTAGCTAAAAAATTTTTAAAAATGAAAAAAAAAAAAAAACTTTTTGGCTACTAAATATTTAGTAGCCATAAAAAAAAAAAGCAAACTTTAGGCAATTAAAATATTTAGTAGCTAAAAAAAATAAGATGAATAACTAAATTTTCTTTGCGATTAAAGCTTTAGTTGCCCTAAATAATTTTAGTTTTTGGCGACAAAATTTTTTAATCTCCAAAAATGCGATATTAATTTTTTTGAATAGGTTTTGGCAATTAAAAAATTAGTCGGCAATTGATGACTTTCGGCGACTTAATTTTTTTTTATAATCACCAAAATCTTTCCCCACAATTGGTCACTGACTAAGGTGGTGATAAAAAATTTTAGCCACTAAAATATTTCGGTGACTAAAAATTGACTTTTGACGACCAAAAATGCTATTAGTTGTAGTGGAGTTTGCTTTGTTATAAGTTAAGGTGTTTGAAAAGTTTTAATGTGACATTTGAGAGGATTATGTCCAAGATGCTGTTGGGCCGTGGACAGACTACAGATTCTATTCCCACTGTCTTGGCAATGGGCCGTGGTTAACTTAAAAAAAAAATTTAAGCCCATGCCCGACATAGTCTCAAACTCTTGGGGTTTGCTTAGTCAACGGCCCGGGCTTGGGCTGATATATCATAGATTCTTAAGGTCCATGCTCTACCCACAAGCTTAAAAAAAAACCTATGGGCTTGGGACTGGATTTGGCCCATGTACACCTAATTTGGTCTTTAATTCAGGGTTTAATGAACAAAATGATCTATACCTTGTAAGTCCTATTGACCATACTTATTTACTTCAATATATATATATATATTTTTTGAGAACTTATGATCCGATTCTATTAAGTAAATTTATTTACTTACAAGTGCTATTCATTTTCACTTATCAATATTTGAAAAAGTGTTGAGGCTTTAGGACTTTTTAGTGCATTAAAAAAGTGTAGAAGACTTGTAGGTATCAAGGAACTTTTTTGCTTATTAAAAACAAAATAGAAAGAATTTAGCGCTTGAGAAATCTTAATGTGAGCTTGACTTGATTTGTGAAAATTATATAAAAGGCTAATATTTTTTTTTATTTTTTTTCAATCAAAGACAAATACATAGAATCATTGCAGAATCAAATTTCTTTTTTTGAAATACATGTTTTTTTATCACATAAAATTATTGTTGTCAATTTGATTTTTTTTTTTTTTTTGGGGTTGTAATTTTTCAAAATAAAATAAAAATGGTTTTTTTTTTTTTTGGGTCATTAGTGAAATTTTTTCAAATTATGTTTGATTAGGCGGACTGGATGAAATGATATTAGCACTTTATAAATCCCTTTGAATTGTGTATCTTATTCCAATATTTAGATTGTTTCAGGATTATGAGAAGGGGTTGAGAAAATCTATCAAATTTTCAATTTAACTAATTAATCTAAACACTTTCTTAGTCAGAACATCTTCTATTATAGGGAATACTATGTTCGGATGAACTATTAGTCTGGATCCCAATTTTCTTAGCCAAACATGAATTATGCATTTTGTTGGATTATTAATCCACTCTCAAGGTCATGTCCACCAAAAAAACATGGGCCATAGTGTTTACTTAGAAAATTCAAAACTAATCAAGTGAAAGGTAAATTACTTGTCAATAGCATTTTAGCTTCATTGCAATCATGCAGTACTATAAAGACAAAATAGTACATTGTCCTTCTAGTGGACCAAAGACCTTTTGGAGATGTAAATGTGCACACATAAGGATCGAAGATCTAACCTTAAAATCACATCTATGTCTTGATTAGAAAACTGTAGGCAGTATTATTAGCAACTAATGGCCGACTGTCTTTGGACTTGGATTTTATTAGTCAATCCCTCTTTTCTTGAACATCATTACCTGATAAATGACATTCAGCAAAGACATTAAAAATTTCAAAATTGTAAAACAAAGAATGAGGAAGAGAGTCAAAACTCATAACTACAAAGTTAAGCCATTACCAATTGTCAAGCTATGCAGGACAGTATATAAGTTGAGTATTAGAGGACCAAATATGATTTATTTTGTGAATTGGTAAATATAGGCAGCAACAGACATGAAGTGACACTGATTTTCATAACCAATGTAAAAAATATACCTCCCCAAAGTGACTGTTTAATCGATTTTAACAGAAACCACTTGGAAAATAATAAATTAGTTCAGTCAAATTCAATATGATTGCATGAATTTTTTATTTTTTATTTTTATTTTTTTTATTTTTTTGGTTGAAAAAAAAATTAAAAAAAAAATTACAGACTGTAAGAATTAAGCCTCAAGAATTAAGGACCGATTTACCAAAATAGGTTTTTATGTGTAACTTGGGCCATATAAAGAGGTTGGCCTTTTAGTTGGTTTAAAAAGAATTGGCAACAAAATATTTTCCATAAAATGAAGCTGCACTTTAACATGCTACCTTTGTTATTCGGTATAAATTCTTTTAGCCAATGGCACAACAGGGTATGGATAAAAGAACAAAAACGAAACGAAAAGTGGAGAATCAAACGTTTAGTAATTGGAAGATTGAGAGGTAAATATGGTTCTTCATTTCCATTCTCAAATTGGAACAAAGAATGAAAAGGACAACCAATCAATAACTAAAGAGAACACTTCTTATTATCAATTTTCAAACTCCTGCAATTCAATTGGTATCCAAGTAGCAAACATTTATATATATATAAAGAGGAGATTTACAAGGCAACCATGAGATAATGAAAGTTGGACGGTCCTTCGCCACAAATTTTAGAACCCTAAAGGCTATGTTTGGTTCTTCAATTTCATTAGCGATTTGTTGAGGGAAAAGAAAAAGAGAAAGACAAATGATAAAAAGTGAGCTTTAAAATCCTGAAGACAGATGATTCCCCCTCATCTCATGCCTTTTCATCTATTAGAAAACCCTCAAACCCATTTTAGAGAAACCCATAGAAACCATTTGAAATAAACAGATCAATCTAATTTTGTATAAACCCACTTTAAAACCACTTGAGAAGATCTCTTTTTATCAAAGTAGAGTACTCATGCCTAATATTCACAGGGTGCATATTAAGGCATGAAAGCACTTGGATTCACAAAGCATGAGAGCATTCTTTATAAAGCCATTTCAGAAAACAGAAAGCATTTCACTCAGAAAAGAGATCAAACCATTTTGAATGTTGTGATGATGGTGGTCCAACAATGAGGGTGGACTGATGACCGAGCGAGAGAGAAACAAGGTGAGATTGAAGAGATGTCTCCTGTGAAAACCCCAGAGCTGGCTTACTTCTTCAGGTAGAAATCTTCACTTTGATGTATTACAAGGTGGAATTGGCTTTGTCAGCACCTATTCATCCAAGGATTGAAAGTTGTCCTAAACTCCAAACTGCATCACTTTCATAATTTCAATAGTTAAATCAAAGCAAAATGAAGTGGATTGTTCTATATAAGATAGCAAAAATGCAAAAAATGAAGAGGAGGAAAAACAATGAAAGAGTAACAAAGTCTATATAGACCTAAGACTAAGATTCCCTATAAGTAACACATAACAAAGCACAATTTTATTTACTTATTTATTTTCTTTCTAAGGTAGTAATGCAACATTGCAGCTGTCGGTCTTTCCAAAGGGATAGAGCCAGCCAGAGTTCAAACAATGAGGCCGCTGATGAGGCTTCCGATTCAGATCTGGGCAACTTTCCGGTGGTGCAGGGGGGCGATGAGGCTGCCAAGGTAGGAGTTGGTGATCAGAGAGTTGCTGTGGTAGCAAGGGAGCGTACTGTGTCAGAGGATGATGGAAAGATAAACAGTGGGCAGAGTGTTTCTGTGGTGGAAGAGACAATCAGTAGGTTGGAGGTGGCATGTGGAGTACGTAATGTCAACCCTGAAGTCAATTTGGTGGGCTCTATGCAAGGCGTGAGTGGAGGTCATGCAAAGGTCAATGATGTAGTATGCACGCCAGGTTTCATTAGAAATGTGAGTGGTTCTGTTTGTAATGGAGCTGGTTTAAACCTTGAGGTAGTGTTGGGCAAAGCCCAAGCCCAACATGGGGGGAATATTTTTAATCAGGCCCAAAGCCTTGGCGACACTAGATGTTTAGAAAGTCCACCTAATGTTGAGAATTATTTTCAGCCTATTTGTGGGGTTTCGGCCCAGCAGCAACTACAAATTGAGTCAGCCAGTGGAGTGGGTTTGGGTAAGTCTGGGGTGTGTTCAGGACCTTCACATCAGGTTAGAAAAACCTACAGGAAACAGAAGAGTAAATGTATGAGAAGGAGAGTTTGGAATAAGAAAGGGGGTCTCGGGCTTCATAACCGAATTGGTCCATCAGTACAAGTCAAGAAAGGAGCAATTCTTAGGTCTGCAGTGGCTGCTATTTCGCTGTCTATGGCAAGTGAGTCCAGTCGTGGTAGATTGCTACTCAATGAGGCGGAAGCAACCTTACAGATAGGGCGAGTACTTGGGCTCAACTGTGAAGGAAAAGGGGAGGAGGTCGTGAGCAAGCTTATGGAATTAGAGTCCATGGATATGGACAAGGTGCACCAAAAGGGAAAGGGAGTAGTCAGTTAATTGACTTCTTCTAGGAGGCTCAGGAGTGCTATTTTGTTAAATGAAGCTTTTATCATGGAATGTTAGGGGGTTAGGTAGGACTGGTAATTGTAGGAAAATCAAGCAGGTGCTTAAGGAGAGGAAAATAGACATGGCTCTCTTGCAAGAGACGAAAAAAGAGGTAGTTAATTCAGAGTTGGTGCAAACTATTTGGGCTGGGGAAAAAATGGAGTTTATGTCAGTTGATTCAATAGGGTCTGCTGGTGGGCTTCTCTGTATCTGGAATCCTGAAGTTTTTCAGCTCAAGAACTGTTGTTGCAATCGCAATTTTATCCTCCTGGCAGGCTCAATATTTTTTTCTTTTAACTGTGTAATTGTTAATGTTTATGGGCCAAATGATCCTGTAGGAAGAAAAAGGGTGTGGGATATTCTTGTGAATCTTAAATCACAATTCTTGGACCCATGGTGCTTGGGGGGTGATTTTAATGAAATTAAAAGCATTTCTAAAAGAAAAGGTTGCTCTAGAAGGGATAAGGGGATGAGGGAGTTCAATGAATTGATAGAGCAACTAGAGGTCTTTGATCTACCTATGTGTGGAAGGAAGTTTACTTGGTGTCATTCACAAGAGGGAGATAGATGGAGCAGGCTTGACAGATTTTTATTAAATCCAGAATGGTTGCAGACTTTCAATTTTAAGCTGTGGGGTTTACCTAGACTGGTCTCTGACCATTGCCCTATTGTTCTGACGGAAGATGAGAGGGATTGGGGTCATAGACCATTCAGGTTCATAAGTGCTTGGTCTTTGCATCCAAATTTCTTGCCATTTGTGGAACAAACTTGGGCTGCTCTAAATGTGTTGGGTTGGGCTGGATTCAGATGTTTAGTCAAATTCAAAGGGTTAAAATCAGCTTTGAAGAGGTGGAATAAGGAGGTGTTTGGAAATGTGGAGAGCAAGCTCAAAGCTACAAAGGAGGAATTCATGCCCTTGATCTAGTTGCCGAAGCAAGGGTCTTATCTGTAGATGAATTAGCTAAGAAGAGAGAATTGAAAGGTGATGCTTGGCAGCTAAGTAAAATGCTGGAGAGGATGTGGTTTCAAAAATCTAGACTTAAATGGGCATTATTGGGTGATCGAAATACCTCTTTTTTCCATGCTCTGGCCAGATGTAGAAGTAATAGGAATGCCTTATGCTCCATTTTGGTGAGTGGAATTACTGTAGAAGAGCCTCTAGCTATTAAAGTTGAGGTGTTGAAACACTTTAGCAATATGTTTAAGGAGTCTTGGAGGGTTAGGCCCACCTTAAATGGCCCCTTTAAGTCAATTGGGGAAAGGCCATGATTCAGGATTTTTGGAAGCGGAATTTTCAGAGGAGGAAATCTTAAGTGCTATTAAATCTTGTGGGGGAAACAAGGCCCCCGGGCCTGATGGATTTAATATGGGATTTTTTCAGAAATGCTGGCATATAGTGAAGGAGGATGTTTTTAGACGATAGCCTAATTCGCCTTACATATTGGCCGCCTCGGCCTTTATGCAAGAGGTAAATAATTTAATTCTTATTTAATTGTCCACATTCAAACAATTTTGGTGAGTTTTGGGTTGTCTTGCTTGACTAATTGATTGATAACTATGCAGTATTTGATTAATTAAAATGAAATAAAATAATTGTCTTTTGACCTTCTTACCCCTTCCTTCTCTATTTTATGGACTCATTGAGAATCAACAAGATAATTGAAACCATTCATCCCCTAAGTTTAATAATAAAGATGATTTGTGCAAAAAATTTGTAGTACATCCGCCAATAAAATTGGAATAATGTTATATACACTAATTAGTGTACTAATTGATGATGTATCATAATTTAAGAAACTTTTGATATTTGTAATTTGATTAATGAGTTGGATCAATAATAATGTCATAATTAGTGTTAGTACACTAATTAATATAACATCACCGATAAAATTGTGTGCTAATTGGGTCCTAATAAATGTTATTTCAAAGCTAAGGTCCCTATTTACTGTCATTCTAGGACTATTTTGCCCATATTTGTCCAACAAATCGTAACTTCATATTCACAAGCTTGAAGTGTCTCTTTGTTAACCACAGGATTTGTCAAAGCACTGTTGAAATTTAGCAACAAGCCATGACAAAAGAACAACTATCATCATTATTATAATATGAAAAATTCTTTTCATACATAATTTTTATACAAAAAATTTCATAAGAATAATATGGTAATGTCATTATTATAAATAAATATATTTTTAATAGTATTTTATTTTGAAGTGAGTAGTTTATAATAAATCACATCATTATATATAAATTTTTTATTTATATAACATGTCTAGATAAAGATCTTTATATATAAAAATGATTACGAGGCACAATTTAATTCAGCATATTCAGCTCAAGAACTGTTGTTGCAATCGCAATTTTATCCTCCTAGCAGGTACAATATTCTATACTTTTAACTGTGTAATTGTTAATGTTTATGGGCCAAATGATCCTGTAGGAAGAAAAAGGGTGTGGGATATTCTTGTGAATCTTAAATCACAATTCGTGGATCCATGGTGCTTGGGGGGTGATTTTAATGAGATTAAAAGCATTTCTGAAAGAAAAGGGTGTTCTAGGAGGGATAAGGGGATGAGGGAGTTCAATGAAATGATAGAACAATTAGAGGTCTTTGATCCACCTATGTGTGGCAGGAAGTTTACTTGGTGTCAGTCACAAGAGGGTGATAGATGGAGCAGGCTTGACAGATTCTTATTAAATCCAGAATGGGTGCAGACATTCAATTTCAAGCTTTGGGGTTTACCTAGACTGATCTCTGACCATTGCCCTATTGTTTTGATATAGGATGAGAGGGATTGGGAGCCTAGACCATTCAGGTTTCTAAGTACTTGGTTTATGCATCCAAAATTCTTGTCATTTGTGGAACAAACATGGGTTGCTCTAAATGTGATGGGTTGGGCTGGATTCAGATGTTTAGTCAAATTCAAAGGGTTAAAATCAGCTTTGAAGAGGTGGAATAATGAGGTGTTTGGAAATGTGGAGAGCAAGCTCAAAGCTACAGAAGAGGAAGTTCATGCCCTTGATCTAGTTGAGATGATGCAACATGAAATGATGAAAATGGAAGGTTGGATTAAGGATTGGACTGACTCAGTAAAAGTCTGGAAACAAGGTATGATCTTGGATCAAGAACGTATTGTGTGGCTAAGCTGTTATGGAGTGCCCCCTAACTTATGGAGCTTTAATACTTTCAACAGCATAGGGAGGCAGTGGGGGCAAGTTATTGAGTTAGATGATAACACTTTGCAGTTAAAAAACTTGCAATGTGGTAAGGTAAGGATAGCCACATCCTGTATGGAATCGATTAACGCGTCCATTATCTTAGATTGCAAAGGTGTCTTCTACCCAGTCAAGATCTGTGAGGAGCAGATTGTTATTTCTAAGGTAGTAATGCAACATTGCAGCTGTCGGTCTTTCCAAAGGGATAGAGCCAGCCAGAGTTCAAACAATGAGGCCGCTGATGAGGCTTCCGATTCAGATCTGGGCAACTTTCCGGTGGTGCAGGGGGGCGATGAGGCTGCCAAGGTAGGAGTTGGTGATCAGAGAGTTGCTGTGGTAGCAAGGGAGCGTACTGTGTCAGAGGATGATGGAAAGATAAACAGTGGGCAGAGTGTTTCTGTGGTGGAAGAGACAATCAGTAGGTTGGAGGTGGCATGTGGAGTACGTAATGTCATCCCTGAAGTCAATTTGGTGGGCTCTATGCAAGGTGTGAGTGGTGATCATGCAAAGGTCAATGATGTAGGATGCACGCCAGGTTTTATTCGAAGCTTGAGTGGTTCTGTTTGTCAAGGGGCTGGTTTAAACCTTGAGGTAGTGTTGGGCAAAGCCCAAGCCCAACATGGGGGGAATAATTCTAATCAGGCCCAAAGCCTTGGTGTCAATAGAAGGTTACATAGTCCAACTAATGGTGACAATTATTTTCAGCCTATTTGTAGGGTTTCGGCCCAGCACCAACTACAAATTGAGTCAGCCAGTGGAGTGGGTTTGGGTAAGGCCGGGGTGTGTTCAGGACCTTCACATCAGGTTAGAAAAACCTACAGGAAATAGAAGAGTAAATGTACGAGGAGGAGAGTGTGGAATAAGAAAGGGGGTCTCGAGCTTCATAATCGAATTGGTCCATCAGTACAAGTCAAGAAATGAGCAATTCTTAGGTCTGCAGTGGCTGCTATTTCGCTGTCTATGGCAAGTGTGTCCAGTCGTGGTAGATTGCTACTCAATGAGGC